TTTCCAGCGTCCCTGAATGTTTTCATGCATTTGTGACATAAAATATACCTAATCTGTGGCTTTCTTATCATATAACGTGTCTAAGATGGCTCTACAGGGTTCTTTGAAATCCTTGAAAGTCTTTAAATTGGAATGCAGGTCTTTGAGGTCTTTGAAAAGTCTTTAAATTGTGTGAAAAAGCGAAGAAAGTCTTTAAAAGTCTTTAAATTCTTTAGTGAGGAATTGATTATACGATTTCCTAGCTAATAAAATAGATTTATTGAATCAAGATTTTCGCAAATATCGACGAAAATGCGCATTTTAGGATGCGATTTGACGGGACTAATTACTGGGTAAAAATGGTGCTTACACTCGCAATATTTCGACAGCTGATTGCTCTCAAAGGTCTTTGAAAAGTCTTTGAAAATAGGCAGAAAAAATCTTTGAAAGTTTTTGGAATTTTTTGGACTTGGATACTACGAACCCTGCTCTACCTTAATGCATGAAATAGAGTTTCGCAGACCCTAAAAATAGAAAATTGTATAGAAGAAATGCCCCAAACGACCAATGATCACTCATTTCCAAACGACCAATGATCACTCCTAAAGCCTGATTTCTTTTAAATCACAGGAGTCGCGCAATCACAAGAATCATGGGGTTTTGGTCATGCGCAATCGTCAGAACACACGCCTTTCACTTCTGATATCGTGGATTCGATTCCCGTTGTGGACGTTTATATGATAGCCATGTGAAAAGAGTCAGTCAACGCTTTGCCGAAAGTCGTGGGTTTTCTCCGGTGCTCCGGTTTCCTCCCACAGGGAATGTTAACAGGGTTGGTTAGGATTGGCCCCCAAGCTGGGATTAGTCCTAAAAACTGACCCTTCCATCGTAGGTGTGCGCCGTGATCCATTGAACTAAAAATAACTGGAACGCCACGTTGACGCGGAAGTTTGAAGCTAAATTATACAAGGTCGTACACAGGCTTTAAAAGGCCCGTTTTGAAATAAAAGGCCCGTTTCCCTTTCGATTCACATATTGCAATGAAAACTTTCAAAACGGCATGCTTCGATCGCCCCCTGCATTGTTTCGCGAGTAAATCGCGCAGTAGAAACACGCGTGGAAGTGCGTGTCTGGGAGTCAAAACTGGCTTCATTTGGCTTCATAGGAGTCAAATTTTGGCTTCAAAATTTGCATGCGCAGTTTACTGAACGTAGCGTTCCAGTTATTTTTAGTTCAATGGTAATTCTATACACCACGCACCATAGATCTCTTACTTCATGTTAGTATAAGTATATTGCATCAGAATTTTGGACGTCACCTGGATACTTCGACGACAAGCGCATGCGCATTACGTGGTACCTTGGCATCAGATAAGGCAGGGCTCATCCCACAATCCGTGTCCATTGTTTTGCATTCGTCGTTACGAGCAAAATCCAAAGTACGTTTTGCTGGACTGTGTCGTGTCGTGCCATTGGGTAGTCTGTTCGGTTTCCAGACATCTTCAAATCCAAATTTCGCTTCGGCATCGCCGTTTACGCGTAATGGACTGCAATGGAATTATAAACTTTGTTAGAAAACTTAAACTATCAGGGGCGGATCTAGCCTCATCTGCAAGAAGGGGTGCAGGTTTCCCATGGGGTGGTGC